TGTATCTGTATAAGACTTTCTGCCTGGGTAGCGAGAATTAACCATAAACTGTGCTCTGGGTCTACAGTTAATTTTCACTCGATTTTTCCTCCACTTGACTTCAAAAGACACAAAACACACGTAATAACACGAATCAAAATGCATCATCTTCCAAAACGCAGGGTATTTGACAAAAGATGTCACAAAATTATAAATTATAACCAAAGATTATAACCTATAATTTGGCAAGACTTTGACAAGCGTCAAAAATCTAAAGTCGAGTTCATACGCATCGGCGTCCGTTTTTCGTTCATCGTTCCGTCAAACCAATAAAATTGAAATACGATCTGTCATTTTTGAAATAAACCAATAAAACTGGTTAAAACAACAAGAGACGACGCATGACGGATTTATATTTAAACCCATCCATAGTTAACTTAAAAATTATTAGAAACTTTTTTTAGTAAAATAAATAGATTGGTATGGGACGTCATCTGCTTTTCTTCTGTCATCGTCTGTCGAAATCTTACCTGAGAAAAAAAACAGAGTATACACCTATATTATTCGTTAAAATATTTCGTGCTTTTGTTCTGCAGATATCAAACTTTCACTTGTTTTATCAAATATCGATATATTGAATGATGTAGATCTTTTGAGTTACCAATAGTTACCAAAAAGTAGTAAGCAATTTTGATGCTAGAATATTTGTAGTTTCCATGCCGATACTTATTTGTACCGGGCGTTGCCAAATTGTTGACAAAAAAAACATAATTTTTAGGAGTCTCTCACCGATTCACCGGTTAGATTAGGTTGAAGTTAGCTGCCAAGAATTTTTTGAAGCCCTCAAAAAAAAGGCGTTTTAAAATCAACATCTAAGACCAGTTTGACCGTTTTGTGGGATGTCGTGATGCAATTTTTAGATCCCAACTTTCTTAGTGACAATAAAACGAAAGGTGTTGAGGCCCATTTGCAATCATTTTCCATTGTTTTATATCGAAAATAGAAAAAAAGTTGCTTTTCCTTAAGCAATTTTCGCAAATAGAATAAATCGTGGCTAGAAGGCATTTTATTAGTTACAGGAATTTAAGCTGAACTGGTGAACCCTTTTAAAAGTTTAATTTCAATCGGCTAGTATAAACACGAAACAAAGACTCTCTGTTAAAGGGTTAATAGAGACCTTTCAAAAGAAGATTTGGTTTTGCAAGTACTGTGATCAGCTTTAGATCTAGTGGGAGTAGGGATGCTGCTGTAATAATTGTTGAAAACTCTGAAACTCTATCGAAAGGCACTGATTTCAAAAAATCAATGAATGACACCAATAGTCAGTTCGGCAATTTTCCTCAAGACAAAAACACCCACATGATGTTCTAGTTAAATAAAACATGATGATATGCAAAAGCCTTTTTTAAATTTCTTATAACTTCTAATAAAATTAAATGATTTATAAGTTTTAATAAAAGTTTAAACTATTGTCTTAGATCCTTACTATATATATAAATTAAAATTAAACATCTATTTTATTTACTTTTTAATAAAATAATATTTTTTAAAATAAAATATACAGGGTGTAACAAGATTACAAAGTAATTAAGAAATAACTGTTAATTAGTGTTTTTTGTAAGTGTTTCACCTGATATAATTTTATTTATTTGGCAATAGTTTACAGTACGGTTTTTGTGTCATGTATATTATAACAGTTTTATGCCCATTAGTTTTATTATCTCTTATTACGAGATAATAAAGTCCCAAACATCGCTGATGTTTTGTCCCACTAGAATTGCCATCCGCCCCACTGTGCGCCAGGTGAAAATATGCTATAACTCTTCTGGGAGTGTAGTGCTAGCTCTGTAAATTGGGTGCTAGGTAGTGCTAGGTGGGTGCAATACAGTGCTAAAGTTTTAAGGGAAATATTCAACAGGGGGGTGGGCTAGCGTTACATTAGCCCCTCCAGGTAAAAATGTCCTGTAACTCGCTAGGGGTTGTGGTGCTAGCTCTGTAAGTAGGGTGCTAGGTAGTGCTAGGTGGGTGCAATACAGTGCTAAAGTTTTAAGGGAAATATTCAACTGGGGCTAGTGTTACATTAGCCCCCCGGTAAAAATGTCCTGTAACTCGCTAGGGGTTGTGGTGCTAGCTCTGTAAATAGGGTGCTAGGTAGTGCTAGGTGGGTGCAATACAGTGCTAAAATATTAAAGAGTTTGGAGAACCGGGGGGGGCTACTGTAACGGACCCTTGTATTTTGTTTAAAGCCTAGTTGACAGAATCAAAGTGTACTTGCATCAAATACACATGGAAGTCAAATACATTTAAAGGACTTTGAATGTATTGTATCTGGATAGACTCTGTAGATAGACTTAAAATTACATTTTTTTGTGAAATTAAATTACCAGAGGCACGTGGAACATAAATAACTACTTAAAATCTGTTAATCAACAGCCGAAATAGCTCAGTTGGGAGAGCGTTAGACTGAAGATCTAAAGGTCCCTGGTTCGATCCCGGGTTTCGGCAAAACTTTTTTTTTTTAATTTTATGAATCAGTTTGTTTTATCAAAACAAAACATCGATTTACAGAAATTTCAAACATTCCAAAAAAATGATTTTTTGCTAAAATTTTGAGAACCACTTGTAAATTTAATCTAATACCTATATGTTGCCATATTATCAAGAAATTATGTTTTTTAACTAAAAACTAAACAAATTTCCGAAAGATTTTTCAAAAAATTTCGAATTTTCAAATTATTTTTTTCGCGAAAAAAAACTCAGGCGTGTTTCTGGTGTTGAACTATACTGCCAGTTATAAAATACTTGCACTTATTTCTGGGATACCATGTATAATACTATGTTAAATACTTAAATTATGACGACAGTTCTCTTCAGCTAAATATACAAAGAAAGTTTAAAATCAAGTATGTATTTTTATTGTCTATTTTTTTTTGCTGACAAAGGCTTCTGTGAGGGAACATACCTATTCGCTGGCGCGGACTGCGATTAGTCTAGATTGCCCTGTTTAGATTAGCCTTAGCAGCAAAAAGGTTAACTTAAAATACTGTACTTTATACTACTAGGAATTTTTTGAATTTCTGAAGTGAAAGCTCGAAGAGCCCCATCTTTTCATGATATTTTGACGACGTTTCAATGAATCAAACCAAAAAAATCGCCCGATTTAAATGAAATTTGGTATGTCAATAGATTGGACCAAGGCCAACTTGACCGTATACGACAGGTGCCACTGTGACAGTTAGTTTTGACGGCAGAAACGTCAAAAGTTGATGTCGTCCGATCGCGCCCAAATTTGGTGGGTAGGCTATGTGGGCGATGCGACCGATGCCTCTAAACAATGGCGGATACAGAGGGGGGCTCATGGGGCCCGGCCCCCCCTAAAATCTGTAAATTGCGTAAAATATTAGGCTTTTGGGTTAAAAATGGCGCCCTAAAAAGCATATTCTCCATTGCTTTTTATTTTGCCCCCCCCCTAAAATAAATTTCTGTATCCGCCCCTGCCTCTAAATGGACGAAGTCATCAGGATTTTTCTTAATTATGGGTCGGACAGACAGACGGAGGAAAGAAGAAGTTTGACTTCAAATATGCGTACATAGTGCGCACACATAATTTTTTTTTCAGTTAAAAAACATAATTTCTTGATAATATAGCAATATACGTAGTAGATTAAATTTACAAGAAAAAAAAACAGAAAAGATCAATTGGTTCTCAAAATTTAAGCAAAAAATATTTTTTCTTGAAAAAAAAGTAAAGTAACTCGGTTGGACTTATTTGAAAACTTACTTTACTTTAACTCACCCGTATAATGAGAAAGTAATGTATCCATCTATAGGGAGTTCGTAGTGAAAAGCAAATAATAAAGAAAAAGGACATTCAAAAAATCTTGTGTGTACAACAATTAATTCCCTTAAGGATTTTTTGTTTGTGTTGCACTAAAATGAACAGAAGTTTTTTTTGTGCAAATTAAAACATCTACTTGACTAACAAAATCAAACATGCTCACAGTTAGTCTGCATCAGTTAAGCCGCCCATGAAACGTATCGCGAGACTCGTCTGAGAATGTCTGAAATGATGATAAAATTGAAATTAATAATGATAAAATTGGAACTCTGGCAGATGGCAAAAAGGAACAGAATCAATTATTCAGGGTTTCGAGCCATAGCGGCATCCAAGGCAACGAAAAAGTCGACGAAGGATCATCGGAATTCTATCCAAGCCTATTTGATCCAGAGCCATTACTAGAAATATCTTGTGCAGTAAAACTATGGATTAGGAAAAAGGAGGCCGTTCACTGGAGCCAGGAGCATACAGGTATAGCAAGGTGGCTTCATCTAAGGACATAATTCTAAAACTACCAAGGAATTGTTAACGCTCAACAGGTCAACAGTGATATAAAGTCCGGATTACAACGGATCTCTTGACGTAACATAACCCGCTAAACAAGCTCAGCCTGTATAAAGGAAGCCCTTGCTGCAGAATGCGATAAAGATCCTGAAATCTGAAACAGCAGAGCATATATTATGTGACTACGAGGTTCTGGATTGCAAGCGACACTTTCTATATGGGAAGCAAAGCTTGAACCAAAGCAAGGCTTGAAGAATTACAATTGAACAAATGTAGTATTATTCCACATAAGAATACTGATAGAGGTACCCCCCCCCCCCCAATACGGAAAAATCCCAAAACATTCCTTCAAAAACTGTGTAAAAGTTTTTCTCTGCATCAAGCTTAGGCATCAAGAGTCTGCATTAGTCTGCATATCCTGATAGTGTGTATGTTTGGTTGCATATACATCTATTAACGATTAAAATTTAAATATGGCTTAATATCCTAGGTTAATATGGTTAGAATTTGGGGCTCTGTTTGGGGTATTAAAATAAGATTTAAGTTGACCGGTATTTTTTGCAATAATTGGAAATCGGTAAATAATATTCCGAAATTTCACTTATATTATTTTAACAAAAGCCTTAAAATGTGAACTTAATATGCGCAAACGTGTTCACGTCGATATCACAGCCGTATTTTTACTTACTGGAAAAATTCATGCCATGCGCACAATTTACATCAGTTATAGCCGACGGCATACACCCATTTTTTCAGAGAGGATTTTTTTATTTTATTTGTTTGATAATTTTCTTTAGTTTTAATTAAAGATCATTTATAGTAGGTAAGTAATAAATATGATATATTAGCCTTTTTCTATTAATTTGTTTAATTTATTTACAAATAATATGTGCCTACTTATGCCTGTTCATTACTTTGGGATAAAGCCGAATTTTTATCAGTTAAAATCTAACTTCTATTTACTTTATATATCTATTGCGTTGCGATTAATATTTAAAAAATACTTTTTATTAATTTTAAGATACCGATATACATTATTTTCATTAATAATATAACCACCATAACCTTACCAATAACGGTTTCCAAAGCCAATTTGATGGGGCTTATATTTAAAGAAATATTTATAAATAGATTAGCGGCATTTTATTGTTCCAATGTGTATTATTCTTTTTTAATTTAGATCGTTGTATGATTCACTATTTATTTTGTATGTGAATGGAATAGCAATTTTTATTATTGTTACTTAAAATTAGGCACTGTAAAAATGTCCGACGATAATGAAGTTACTACTCCCGATGATTTGGAAAAGGAGCCCGATTCTAATTACAAGCCTCCGCCAGAGAAGAGTATAAACGAAATATTGGAAATTGATCAAGATGATGAAAGTTTAAGAAAATACAAAGAAACACTTTTAGGACAAGCCCAAGAAGGCCCAATCATTGTTGGTATGTTACTGTCTTAGTTATTATTGAATGCAGCCTACTTATCTATTTTTTATTATTTCAGAACCCGATAATCCAAGAAAAGTTATAGTAAAGAGACTAGTTTTAATTCCTGTAGATCACCCAGAAATATCCCTTGATTTAACTGGAGATTTGGCAGTATTAAAGAAGCAAACCTTCGTTATAAAAGAAGGAGTTTCATACAAAATTAGAATTGAATTTATCGTTCAACGTGAAATAGTACATGGATTAAAGTATGTTCAGAAAACCAGTAAATTGGGGATTACAGGTGAGATAATATTATTAAAATCAGTTTAACAAAACTGTAGGCAATTCTTTTGTTTATTCTTGTATTAAATTCATATAGTTCTTTTCATGTAATTTATTCACATTTCAACATTTGACATCATGTTATGTTTGGTAATACAATTGCTCAAATAAATTCTAAATGTATCTGTGAGGTTCTTTACGATCTAAGAAGAATTATACCTAATATTATAAACTAAGAAGATATTTACGTTTATAGTCTGTTTAACGAGTGAGGGAGGATTTCGACAGATGAAAACTAAAAAATGGCAGAAAATACTATTTTACCGGTGTATTAAAAACAGATAGAACTGTCACTGTCATGTGTCCTCTCGTTGGACAGACTATACCATAATATTCATCAATAATTATTAGTCACATTAAGGTCACATTATTTGTTCACTGTCACAACTTCTGTCACAAAAAGAATCTATAAAATAATAAATCAGAAATTGAATATGGCTCAATATTAATTTTAAAGAATATTTTTACTTTTTCATAAAACTTCTCTTAACTTCTATATGCTTCATTTCATGTGTCAAATTGTTAAACAGTTTGATACACTGCCTAAAGCAAAAGACTAAAAATAACCGTATGATCAAATAAAAATGGCGTCAAAAACGGCTGGGGAATGATAATCGATGATAATTTTGGCTAGGTCAATCTCTAGATATCGTTTACTAAAAATTATCAAAAACTAACACTAATAATTATAGAAAGATTAAAAAAGAGTAGAACCAAAAAAATCATGATTTAAAAAAAATCAAAAATTCGATTTTTTTTAGATTGCTGGCTGAATGCAATAAAAGCGAGTGGCCATATTAAGTACAGAAGAAGAATCGTCATTTCAAAGCCAACTTGACGCCGTGTTTTTCGATCAAACGGTACAACAGGGTGAGTTTCCTACAATGTCCTCTATGGGTATCTTGGAAACTACTGGAGATAGAGAGTCGGTTAAATAGGGAAAAAATTGCAGTTTTGTGGGGTCATAAATATGCGCCTTTCAGATTTTTGAAAAAGTTTATGGCTTACTAGATATGTCGAAAAAAACAAATTTCGGCTATGTGTCAATTCCATTATAATCTATTTTAGACAAAAATATTTCAGATATAAAAGTTGTAGATAATCACATCCTTAAAGGATTGTGTCCTCCGTTTTTTTTTCTAAAGCCTGTCATTTTTGACATATGACACAAACATATATTTTTTAAATGGAAACCATAGTTGGCCATGACTTCATAAAAAGCGCCATTTTTTAAGTTTTTCATATCCCTAAAAGCTATAATAAATTGTTTAAAAATGATAAGAATTGGCTATAACTCTGAATTGTGAATTGGCTTATATCGCCGAAACGCTTAAAAATGGCGCTTTTGATGATGTCATGGCCAATTAGGGTTTCCATTTAAAAAAACATATGTTTGTGTCATATGTCAAAAATGACAGGCTTTAGAAAAAAACGGAGAACACAATCTCATTAAGGATATGATTATCTACAACTTTTATCTGAAAACTTTTGGTCTAAAATAGATTATAATGGAATTACGGACAATTTCTGAAATAGCCAAAATTTTTTTTTTTGAGATATCTAGTAAATCATGAACTTTTTCAAAAATCTGAAAGGTGAATATTTATGACCCCACAAAACTGCAATTCTTTCCCCATTTAACCGACTCTCTATGTAGTTTCCGAGAAACCTATAGAGAACATCGTAGGAAACTCACCCTGTATATAAAAAGGGAAACAGATATTATTATGATTATTCTTTTGTTTATCCTTATCATAAATGCAAAGCAGGTAAATAATTCTAGATGGCTTTGCCATATATTTTTTTGTTGTCTAATTTGGTTAACAATAGCAAAACTTATTCATTCAGAATAAATTATTTTCTAGTGGATAAAATGACTCACATGGTCGGTTCATATGCTCCAAAGGCAGAAATTCAGTCGTATACAACCCCATCTGAAGATGCTCCTTCGGGCTTAATGGCCAGAGGCTCCTACACGGTAAATTCGTTGTTTACAGACGATGATAAGCATGAACACTTAAAATGGGAGTGGACGTTTGAAATTAAAAAGGATTGGAAAGACTAAGAAACTAAGGTGCTTTGATGCTATTTTTTTTTCTATTAGGTAAGTGGTTTACTAGAGTTTAATGGTAAATTACCGTTTAATAGTTAAAAAATGTTTTTAGGTGTTGTGGCGCATTTATAAAAGGATCAGAAGTATTAAAATTTATATATAAACTTATTATTTTGTGGATAGGGAGAAGGAATTTGTATTTCTACCAGGTTTTACAGCTTTATACCCAAAATTTTGAGACATTTTTACCCAATGCATTTTACAATGCAAAATATGTAATATTAACTGCCAAGTTTTCTAAAGAAACCTATTGAGCAATAACTTTTTGTATAGCTATTTTTAAAATATTTTAATATTTTACCTAGTGGGCGTTAAAAAATACAATCATCCTTGATTTTTTTAAATTGTTTCCCTTAAATTTGGAAGCTTTATTGTGAACCAGTTAAATCAAAAATGTGTGTTGTCTTTTAAGTTTTTTTTTATTTTTTATTTGTGAATGCATGTATTTAGGCATTAACTATTAATTTCTGCATATGATATTTTAATTATTAAATATATACATTACATTTTTTGTTTTTCTTTTCAGATAGTTTTTAGCCATTGGAAATAAATTAATATTTAGTATAAATTTAGAACAACTGGGGTAAAGATACAGGGTATCCCAGGCTGAGCGTGCATTAGAAGTTTCTAGAGCACTACAATATCTAGATTACAGATTTTTCGCACGTCACTGTTTCACAACGAGATCTATCGATTAAAAATATCTTCAATATGGCGGCACTTCCGGAAATACCGGAAGTTGACAGTAACTTTCTTATTTTAAATGGGTACCCCCATTTTTTATTACATACTTAAATTCTCGGTAAAATTTTATGAATTTTGCTATCAAACACTCTATATCAAACATTAACCGTTTTTGAGAAAAAAAACATTTAAAATTTTTGGAGGAAAAAAGTGCATGTCAAAAAATTGGGTGGGGGGGGGGGTGGAGTTATAGCCTAAACAAGAAATTTAGTGATTATCTCAGCCACTGTGGCATAAAGAGAAGACATGTGGCTATCTATTTCGAAAATTAAATTGTTTGAATGTCCTATAATATTGGCCGTAGCTGTCATGAAATTGAGCGATTAATAAATTATCATAAATCATTTTTTTCAAATGGAAACTACCTTTTTTTTATTTCACTAGTAAAAAGGTTTTTCAATTCGTTACTTTTTGTATAGCTACCATATAGTTATACTACCATATAGTTTTACATATAAAATGACACCGATTTTCATTTCATAGCCATCGTTGACGCCGTTTTTATTCGATCATACGGTACCTGTACATTTAGATGAACAGTCTAATTTTTTAAAAGGTATTTTCAACGACCGCATAGTAAATACCCGGTATAATACCAGTAATATCAAGAATAATTAAAAAAATTTTTTTATTATAATATTCCTTATATATGTATATACCAGCAGTATTTATATATATGAAATTGAAATAATTAGTTTTATACAGAAGGAAATAAATATGTCTAATGGTTTGATACTTAATGTCAAAAGAAACTAGATATAATAAGAAGATAAAAATACGCTTTAAAACTAAATCTTAAATAACTTAAAAACGATATATTTATATATATAACAATATATATAATCAAAAAGTAACAATTGCTTTTTACTAGTGAAATAAAAAAGGTAGTTTCCATTTGAAAAAATGATTTATGAAACAATTTATTAATCGCTCAATTTCATGCATGCAGTTTTTCCTCAAAAATTTTAAATGCTTTTTTCTCAAAAACGGTTAATGTTTGATATAGAGTGTTTGATATCAAAATTCATAAAATTTTACCGATAATTTAAGTATGTAATAAAAAATGGGGGTACCATTTAAAATAAGAATTGCTGTCAACTTCCGGTATTTCAGAAGTACCATATATACCCATATTACAATCGATAGATCTCGTTCTTACCCAGTAATGTGCAAAATCTCCGATCCAGATATTGTAGTTCTCTAGAAACTATCTAATAAGCTCAACCTGAGATACCCTAAGGTTATCGAAAAATGAAATCATTTTTACTAATTACTGTAAATGTTGATAGGTATAGTGTGACCAACGGATCTCTAGACTACGGGGTATCGGCCTCTAAACGCAGTTGTAAATCAAAAAGGCGCCCAATTTCATTTTATAAAAGCTGCATGTAGCGTACAAATTCTATATGGGCCCCCTAACTATATCATAATTCCTTCAAATTAATCATTATTGTGATATCTGCTTGAATCGTATTGTTTAACAAGAGCTACACACTTGAAGCTTTTTTATATTTTGGATAAATATTTTGAATCATTTATTTATTTATTATTAATATAATAGAAGAAATAATTAAACCTTTGGTGTTATACAGCAAAATAAAACACTAAATCAGTACAATACACCAAAACACTTTTAATGTTACACTGGACGCACGTTTCGCTAACCATGTCTGCCATCAGCAGATGATTAAACTAGTCTTGAGGTATATTTATTTATATATCTGTACTAACTATAGTTTTTCTATAATAAATAATTTTAGATTATAACTACTTCCAGCAAAAAAATCTTGAAATAGTTAACTTTGGAAGCGCAAACAAAACATAATTTTACTCACCATTAGATCCAAGTCCTATTACTTTTTATGGTATCCTTCGCCAGCAGTTTTGTTTACGAGGCTAGTCCATTGTCTACCCATCTTTTGCTCGATTATTCTCAACTGATATTATTCGAATTGAGCTTATATTTATACTCTTGGGAATATAGTAGACCTCATTAATAACTTTCTGTTATTTTGACATTTAGAAAAAATTCATTCTGGTTCAATAACCCCTAAGGGTTTTTTCCTGCAAACAAAATTGGAATTCTTCCTGCAAATTTTGCAAAATACTTTCTAATCAGGAATTGTTTTTTTTTCAAAATAAAATCAGAAAATTCTCTGATACTGTGAAATTTTTTTCGATTTTTCATAAAGTAATTTTTTGCTTGTAGCTCCGATGCTAGATTGTGTTAGGTCGTTAGGAAATTTGTCTACTAATACTTTGACATTAGCTAAGATATCGATTCCTGGGATTTTAACAATGTTTGTTGGTATAAAATTTCAAATTTTTCATAAAATATTTTGAAATGCGTCATACCTGATTCTAAGTTTAGTTATTTTATATCTAAACAAGCATAACTCTGTGACTTCTTCATCGATTTATTAGGATTTTCAACATTTAAACCAAATGAGATTTCATCAAAAAAGTTATTAACTCCTATATAAATAAGCTTTTATTTTCTTGTCTGAGGTTCAATATTCCAAGATTTCCCTTGAAATTTATTCATTGATGACATAAACACTTTCAAACTTGATATTAAGATTTTCCTACTACGAACAAAAACTCCTGATATTAACGATCAAAACAATCCTATGTCAACTATCATTTTTACGAAAATTTTGAAAGCAAGTTAGTATTTTCCAATATTGTACCTTGGAAATTTAGTAAGAAAATAAATTCGATATTTTCTATTTTATCTAACATCTTGGCCTCATCTCTATCAGTACAATCGTACGTTTTTTTCAGTATTAATCTTAAATTCGATACTTAACGACGGGCAGTGGTGAAGCTATGGGGGGTGTTGGGGGGGATACTCCCCCCCCCATGTATAATTGAGTTTTGCCAATTATATCGTTGACAATCTTCAACGTCTAAATGAGCAAATTATAAAGAATTAAGGAAATACGATTATTAAATAAAAGATATGTCATAACAATAAACTACGTTAAAATTCATTATAATGTTCAACAGAATATTAAATTTAACTTTTAAATATAATAAAAAATATATTAAATTTTTAGTTTAACCAGTATGTCTATAAATAAATTTTGCAATTTTATAGATAAACGTGCTGGATATCGATTTTTTATCGCATTCCTTCTCAAGCTTCAAGATCCGATGGTCAAACAGTAATTGATTAGACAGCAATATCATGGTTATTGAATAGGTAACTTCCTGTACACTAAATAACTAATCTTAATTTTACATGTGGTATCCAGACTTTGCTAGTTTGCCAACTGCGTTTCGAGAACTTCAACATTCTTTTACATTTGATTATACCGTATGATCGAAAAAATGTTATTTCATAGTCATCGCTGACGCCGTTTTTTTCGATCATGCGGTATTCTTCATGGGATGTCGTTTATTTTTGCGAGTCAACATCCTTATTTTTCCTCTGGTATCGTTCAAAACAATATTAGTAAAAATAACAGTGGCTTAACCATGAGGTCAAATGGTCAATGCCTCCCAAAAAATTGGGAGAAAATATAGAAAAACTATATATATATATATATATTTGTAAATACTTTTTTCGTTCTAAATATATTCAAAACTATTCCCATATATGTCCGGTTTAATTGATTAGAATTCATTTTATTATACCCATTTTTCTACTGCGTGGTCAAAGGAAACTCATTTTGTCCTTTGTTCCCATAGGTTTTTGGTTTGGATCTACATTTTGGTATATGGATGTACCGTGGAAGATTTTATTTATCTACATTGACTGGATTTTTAGTGAAATGTCACTAGATCCTTTTCACCTGATAAGTTATATAGATAATCGAGATACAAAGTGTTTATTTTTAAAAATGCAAAAATTTCTAAACATTACAAGTAAAAAACCCTTTTTCGATCAATTATTTTATTGATGAAATATATTTTTGCAGACTTACAATTTATTTAACCTCTGGTATCGTTCAAAAAACGCATAATTAGTAAATAACAGTGGCTTAACCATGAGCGTCAAATGGTCAATGCACTCCCAAAAAATTTAAATTTTGATTGCGTCTTAAAAAATATTTATTTATTTTTAGTACTATTGACCTCCCTAAAATAATAACCACATTATGCTGGTAAATAAATAAGTTTTTTCGTAGAAAAAACACAAATCTTACAATCCATCAAATAAACAAAACATAGCGATTGAAATGGGTTTTAATTTATTAATTTTATAGGTTATACTGCTGGTTATATTAAAAAGAATGTCCTTTTAGTTACAGTCTATGTTGGAGATATTTATTTACGAGAAATGGATAATAGCATCACGATAAAAGAAAACGTTTGAGTTGATTTGGAAGTGAAGGTTGCTTAGACGTTTTTATGTTAGATCAAGAGTTTTAACTTGATTATTAAAGATATAGAGATTTAAATTCGATTTCAGCAACGTATTTTTCCTCATACGAAACCAGTATGATTTGTTACTACTACTTGACATCTCAAATATTTATTTTTGTTTATGTTGGTTTAGTTTCTTTAATAAATTTTATTTTATTTGTGACTCATTGAAAAATATCTGAATCATACAGTAATTTTCAAACCAACAATAGCGATAAAAATAGGTTTTTAATTATTAATTTTATAGGTTATAGTGGTTATATAGGTAAAAAAAGAAATAGGTAGTTACAGTCTGTGGGAGTTATTTATTTAGAATTTTATGGGTTAAAATAACCGAGAAAAA